AATGATATCGCTCTCCTTGAGATCAGCGACGTTGCAGTCGGCCAGACCAGCCTCACGGAACTCGGTGTGCAGGTTGAGGAAGTCCTCCAGGACGTCATCCTCACCGAGAGAATCCTTGGTCAACAGGTGGTCAAAGTCGACCAACTCGACAGGAACTAGGTCCTGTCCCTCGGTGGCAAGCCAAGTCACCTTCTTCTCGGTCTTCTTGACATCGCCAGCCATGTGCAGCTCGAGTTCAAGATCGGTAATGATGCCGGTCTCGGGGTTCGTGGTGATCTTGCGCACGATGGCATTGCCCCAGTTCATAAGAGTGATCTCCTCGTCCGGCTTGAAGAGCTTGACATCCTCCTGCTCGAGAATGATCGAGCTGCTGTAGACAACCTTCTTCATGCCGACGGCGGCGTTCTTGATGTGCTTAGGCTTTTGCTCGCTGTAAGGGGTAGCAGGGCCACCAATCACAGTGGTCTTCACAACGTTCTTGGTGAAGATCGCGGTGTGGCGTGGGGCAATAGGATCAATGTATTTCTTGTTGGTAGCCCAGATAAGACCCCAGTCGAAGTTGGTCACAGCCTTAGAGGGGCCCTGCTTAAGGATGAATTCCCGGAGAGCAGGAATGGTCATACCGCGGCGACGGATACCACGAATGGTGGGGAAGCGGGGATCATCCCAGCCCCAAACGAGACCAGTCTCGACCAGCTTGGTGAGCTTACGCTTAGAGAGGAGGGTGCGGACGAAGTTCATGCGGGCGAAATCCCACACCTGTACGTTGCGCAGCTTCATAGTATCCAGCATCCACTGGTACTGGGGGTTACGATCGCGGTACTCGATAGTACGCAGAGCGTGAGTGACACCCTCCATCGAATCAACAATAGGGCAGGCAAAGTCGTACGTCGGGTAGATCTTCCATTTGCTACCGGTGCGGTGGTGAGGTGTTGGGTTGCATCGGTAGATAACTGGGTCACGCATGGCCTTATTGGGGCAGTCGTAGGAGATCTTAGCACGGATGCACCAACGAAGACCCTCTGGGGTGCTGTTCTTCATATCCTCAAGATGCGCCAAGCTTTCCTCGGGGGAAAGATCCCGACGCTTGCTAGGCAATCCGTCCCATCTCTGGGCAGCCATGGTTTCTTTATCGGTATCATCTGCGTAGGCGTCGCCCTGTTTGATGATCTGGATACAGTAGGCGTACAACTCGTCGAAGTAGTCACTAGTGTAAGTCAACTTGTTAGGCTTGATGCCCATGAGCGCAAGGTCCTCCACGATGGCATCCTCGAACTCTTGCTTTTCGTTCGAGGGGTTGGTGTCGTCGAATCTAGTACAAGTCAGTTCAGGGTCCTTGGTTTTGTTTGCTATTTGTCTTCAACCAACCTCAGAAGCATAGTACCGTTGTACTTCTCATGCGCAAAGTAGTCGTTGAGAAGAGCGGCCTTGGCGTGACCAATGTGGAGGTATCCACTACATTAGAGCGAACCATATTAGTCTCAGACAGACCAAACAGGAATTGGGTCCCAACTCACGAAGGCTCGGGAGGGAATCGGGTAACGACACCGTTCTCGGTGTTCTTGAGCGCAATGTCGTAACTGGCGCCCTCCTTAGACTTGGCCACCTTCTTCTCCTTAGCAACTGCGTTCATGGATTCCACAGCGGCGGGAGCCCAGGGGCAAAGCTCCTCAATGAACCTAAACCAGCGGGTAAGGTTCACAAGGGATCCCTTCTTCACGGCCGCAGTGGCGACACGATTGCCTCGGATAGCACCCCAAAGGGCAATGTCGGGGGTCGACAGAGAGTATCCGACCACGAACGAGCGCATGAGGAGGTGAGTATCAAGGCGCTGAAGCACGGGATCGAGGGCCTTGAAATCCAGGATGGTCAGGGAATCCAATTGAGAGATCCACTCAGTCTCCTATTGCGAGGAATAGTGTTAGGGACATTTCGGTTCCAAAAAAAGACTCGACCGCGGGGTAGTGACTCAACTCACCACCTTGGAATCCTTGCCAGTCAGGAAAGGGAAGTGCTTAGTAAGTTCCTGGATGACATTGGCAGTACCAAAGACAGAGTTGGAACCACTAGTGAGCTGCACGATGGCCTTGTCGCCATCTTGGAGAAGAGGAGTGTCCTCATAGGTGATGTTGATCACGGGGGTGGGACGGGCCTCATTGATGGAGGTGACGATGAGAACAGCAGGCAGAGTTGCCGCCTGGTTGCCACGAGTGGCCACTTTCAACTCGTATTCAGACATGGCGCAGAAGTATAGTGTTAGGAGCAATGTGAATTTCTGGCGGGGGAGTCATTATCTACAGTCCCCGTCCGGAGCCACGTTTCTCCGACCCCGACTGCTTTCCGGCAGAAAACAATTGCTTCATCCAGCCGATCAGCTCAAATCAACGCTTGCCAACATGTCGTCCTCCGGCTCGATACTGCCCAGTGTGGCACGCGGAATCCTATCATCATGCCGGAATCCGCTGCGAAATTCATCAATCGCTCCCGTTCTCTCGACTTTCCAGCAGGTCCGAGGTCTCAAGCACAAACCGAAGAAGGGGAAAGAGCAGCCTACCAAGAGCCGCAAAGCACCCCAGGAGTTCCGGCAAGCCAACTTGCAGGATATGCCGCAGTATTCCCTGTGTGATGCTATGCGGTATGTACTGGACACAGATGCCAGCCGATAGCCGGGCCATCAATTGACACCTTCCTTTCTGCAGGTATATCCGGGCCATCGAAGTCGGTCGCGAACCCACCGTTCAAAAATACGAGCTGCACATCCGACTGCGGACAAAGCGCGATGGTCCCGTCATCCGTAACATGCTCCGATTCCCGCACGCCGTCCAGACCGAATCCCGCATCTGTGTCATCTGTCCTCCCGGTTCGAAAGCAGCCAAGGAAGCGCTTGCCGCGGGCGCCGTTCTTGTCGGTGAACAAGAAGTGTTCGACGCCGTCAAGGCAGGCACTATTGAGTTCGATCGCTGTCTCGCCCACCCGGACAGTTTGCCGGCATTGAACAAGGCCGCGCTGGGTCGTATCCTCGGTCCTCGCGGTTTGATGCCCAGTGCGAAGACTGGTACCGTTGTGGAAGATGTGGCTGCGCGAGTGGAGATGCTCCGTGGTGGTACTGTGTACAGAGAGCGTGATGCTGTTATCCGTCTGCCCATCGGGCAATTGGGCTTCTCTCCAGAACAATTGCGCGACAACATGCGCGTGACCCTTGACCAGATTAAGAAGGATGCTTCCGCACTGACCGACCGTGTCAACAAGGAGGTCTACGAGGTGGTGAGTATTTAATTGATCCTTCTTGTGGAAAATCCTCTAACAACACCATCAGGTACTGAGCTCGACAAACGGACCCGGATTCTCACTCAGCGGCGAGTTCCGCTCTGACGCCTCTCCCCCAACATCTGCCTTGGCCGGCATGTAACATACTCAATTTTCTTATATCCTTTGGCGTGTACAAATTTATTGTTTTATTAGGGAAGGATATGGTGTATCATGGTATCATTGTTGAACTAGAACTTTATAAGACGAAACGCCGACGCTATGTATGCAAGCCAGTGCCGATTGCCAATTTCCAGGAACATGCACGTTGTTTTTACAGCTTGAGGTTCTTCAGCGCGGCAACGGCACTGACATCCTCACCCATAAGCTCGTAGAGGCGCAGAACTGCCATTGTTCTAGCGTCACGTTTGCCCTGTTTACTACCTGCCGTGGCCTGCTCCAAGGCAGTTTTGAGATCCAGAAGCACTGTGGACTTGATCTTTGCGACTCGTGGTTGCTGCGCAAGCAGGAAGGGATGCTTCTCGCCGACCCGGGCAGCTATCGAGGTCAAATAGACAAATTTCTGCGCATGGCGTTCCATCCTCTTTAATGAAATTGCGGGTGTGCCATCCGCTAGCTCATAATCCTCGCTGTCTTCACTCTCCCCGCCGTACAAATCGGACTCTGTATCTGATTCGTCCGATGTGGCATGTTCTTGCGATGACTTGTCCTCAATCATCAAACGGTGTTCCAACTCCTCCACCCGATCTGCATAGTCCAGCAGGTCTTTGCCAATGTCGGCGTTCTTTCGTAGTCGCCGCTTTTCGTTCAACAGCTCTTCCACTTCCTGGCGTCGGGCCTCGACCTTGTCCCGTATAGCCTTGACGTCGCGCTGGAAAGAAAGTACGCCGACTTTTACACCTTCGACTTTCTCCTCTCCCCCGCGGAGCGCGCTGCCCAACGAGAGAAAGTCCTGGTAGTTCTCATTGACGAGATCCAACAGCTCCTTGTTCAAGAACTGCTCTAGTCCCCGCAATTCCTGTCGCAGATCCTCGAGGCTCTGATGTCGGTTTGTCAATGATGAGAGGAAATTGGCCGGATCGAAGTCAGGGGCGAGGAATGAGGTGCGAGATAGCGGTTCCGGGAAGGGGAGACCTGATGGGTCTTCATCGAAGTCGGAGGAGGACCCGTCGGAGTCGCCGAACTATAGGTCGGTTAGACGAGGTACCAATTCGAGTCACATGGGGTTCATACTTGGAACCGATTCATGGTGCGTTCCGGGCAGAGCGTGGGCAATGATAAGGGAACACTTGGAAACGTGGTGGTGTCTATGTCTCGATATAGCTTGCATGCCTGCTGAGGCTAACATCTTCATGTTTGGAAAATCCATTATCAGTTTGGCTTTGTGGCCCAGTGGTTAAGGCATCCCGCTCGTATCATTATGGTGCAAACGGGGGGTCCCGCGTTCGACTCGCGGCAGAGCCATCCTATTTTTGGCTTTTTTTGCAAGTGTACCTGAGGTGCCTGAACCACATTGACAGCTTTGGTGGTCATCAGGGAAGCTGTCCACCCCTCGGATGATTTACATCAGACAAAACACTCAACGCATGTCGGTGAATATGCATTGCGCATCCGACGTGGATACATGCGAAACCTAACCCTCTCAAAGCCCTGTCCCCTCCCAGAGCGGGGTCAGTGTCTGCGCTGTCTCCTGCATTACACGTAGCTGTGCGCTACCGCAACTGGTACAGAAGATGGAGTCGGAGACATTGCCCGCTACAAGGCCTTCGTCTTCCCTACCTCGACAAGGATGGCCCCGACTACGATCCCTATCCCATGCTTCTCAAGTCGTGCCCGCCACCGACCCCTCACACCAGACAAACCAACGATACCAGTCCATCGCGGAAGACCCCACCGCTGCATATCGTGCTACGGCTTTGCGCCAACTGAACGGTTCCCCAAGGCCTGCATCCCGTCCTATCCGAGTCGATAATCCCTCTGCCCGGCGCTTGTCGACACCTGATAGAGGTCCGGTGCTAGTCAGGGCGTATTCGGGCGATGCGCAGAATAGATCTACACGACGGTCTACTATGCCCTCGCGTCGGTTCCTCTCATTTTCCAGCTCGAGGAGCTCGCCTCCCACGCGCCCGTCCCACTCTGATGTCATATTCCCGACGGATAAGGACTTCAGTATTGAGAGTATACTGCAGGCCATCGAGCCTGATATCCGCGGCACTCTGGACTCCATTGCTGAGATCTGTGGGCGAAGCAAGCTGAGTCTTTCTAATGAGTACGGGAGTCATATCGCGCCTTTGGGTGAGATTTGTGCTCCGTCGAGTGCGCTGGGACCGGTCGAGGAGGCCGGGCCGAGTGAGGAACGACGTGCCGATGACAGCAATGCGGTCATTGTTGATGAGGATGCTAGTCCGGTTGATTCAGCTCAGGAAATGCATCCATTCTCCTTTCATCGGTATCTAGAAAACCTGCGGCATACTGCGTCTATGCAGGAACAGAGTACACTTGACCAAATAACCCAGCAGCCCCATTCTCCATTTTCTCCGGGCATGGACTCCGCGGCGGAAACTGTTGTGCCTATCGCCCCGGTCATACAATCGACCCCTTTCACGCGCGAATTTGCATCAAGACCCAAGCATAACGGACGTGATCTACTCGCAAAGAATGCTGCTGCTGGCAGTGGCGAACAGCAGTCATATCAGATGGCGACACCGGCTGTCGTCTCAGAGATTCATCTAGAGGCGATTGCAAATGATGGATCCTCCGAATCCAATATTCTCCCACAGCCCGCTTTCGGCGGGGAAAGCTCGGGTCCGGAAATCATCCAATCCCTCATTGGGTGGCTGAAGTGGGCTGCCACTATTGGGCCGGAATCCAGTCCTGCTTTGCAGTCCGCGGAGAGCCGGCTGCGAGCTATGCTTGATCGATCAGGCAATTAGGGTCTCCACTGTGCCTTGATCACGACTCATGTTATGAGACATGATAATGACTTTGATGTTAACGATCTTGCAAACAAGATTCACGATACTATAGACGCATCTCAATATGATTTTGTTTCCAACAGGTTATATTCGAAATGTCGTTTTGTAGACTTTTGGTAGCATACTACTGGGTATTTCGTTCTGAAATTTGCCTAGAAATCATGCTTGGGAAGATCAAAAGAAATATATCCAAATTATTAACCTCCTACGTCATCAAGAGATGTCCGCAGCAGGATGCCAATTATTGTTCCCAGGTGTACTCTACGTCCGCAGAATGACTAGATTTTCGCCACATCATTTACAGCAAAAGTGATACCAATATAGCGAGTTTCAATTTGACTCAAGTAATGGAGGCTAAAGAGTGAAGCCTAGGACAAACATCTCCAAGGAGTGCCATCATTAAAAGCCCAAGGCAAAGCTAAGCGGAAGCCTTAACCTCAAGACGCTTGAAACCACCATCAGCAGCAACCTCCTGCTGAAGGGCAGCCATGCGCTTCTGATCACCAATAGGATCAGTAGAGTCAGCATCCAGACTCCAAGAAAGGAACTTATTGGTATAGTTCGCGACGAAGTCCGCGTCCAAAATCCCAAGTCTCTTTCCATAGTTCGTAACCTTAGTCCAGTCCCGCTGAACATTCTTCAGATCACGCGAGAAGTAAGCAAACGACCGCTCAAAGATCTTGCGGTTGACATCCGTGCCCATGATCGGCTTGACGTCAATGTACTCGGCGTACGCCGCCGCAGGATCAGCGAGGACGTCGTCCGTGGCGCGCTTGACGGCGCGCATGAACGCAGCCACCTTCTCCGGGTTTGCGGCGATGAAGGCGTCGTTCGCGATGTACAGGATCGAGCAGAAGCAGCAGCAGCCCAGCTCGGCGAGCTGGTCGATGCGCAGCATCTGGACGTCGCTGCGGGGTCGGTTCTGGCCGGCGAGCCATTCTTCCAGCTCGACCATCTGCACGTTCTCGAGACCGATGCCGGCGTCGATGGTGCCTTGGATGATGGCTTTAGTTATGTTCATTCCGCACCGCACGGCTGTGTAGTCGTCGGCGGTCATGCCGTAGTACTTGGTGAGTTCGTCGATTTGGATCTGGGGTTGGTTGTTAGGGCATGTTTGGGATTGAGTGTGATGGAGGGAATTCATACCTTGCCGAACTCGCCGACGTATCCGATTCGCTTGCCTTTCAGCGAGCGGAAGTCCTCGGTGATCCCGCTGGACTTCAGGTACACGACTCCGGTGAAGGGCTCGTCGAGGAGGGAGCCGATGGAGGTCACGGGGAAGTTGCGGGCCTTGGCCTGGAGGGGTATTAGTATGGTTGGAGTGATTGTCATGTCGGGGAAAGTATACGAACCGCCAGGGTGTGAATCATGGCCTTGAAGCCCATGTCGACCTTGCCGCTTCCGACGATCTCGGTGACGTCGGAGGGGTCATTAGGCTCGAGCAGAGCGACCTTGAGACCTTCATCCTTGAAGTAGCCTCTGGCCTGGGCGAGGTAGAGGGGGGCGTGGTACGGGGTCGCGTGCCTTTAAGAAAAAAACAATTTAGCCAAGTAGAACTACAAGATCGAGCACGGGAAGCCCGGAAGCTCGGATTCTGGAACAATGTCAGCGTACCAGTTGGTCAAGAAAGTGATCTTGTCGGTAGACATGATGGCAGAAAAATCAAGCTATTGAAATACTTCAATTGGGTCAGCATGCCACGAGAGAACGCATCCAGCTCTACTCTACCCATGCTATTCTCCATTCAATCTATGTATTCAATTGAACGGAAAACAGCAGTGTGAGCAGAGCCAGACACAAAACACAAAACAGGGGAACAATCAAAGTCACGCATGTCCTTTCGCTAGTATTGTCTAGATCAAGTTTTGACAGTATAATCTCAGAACAGCCAGCCAGTCGATATGGGAAAAAGAAACCTAACACACTCCAGGAGACTAGAGTAGGTTTATAGTTCTCCCCAATCGACCGGCTGGACCGAACACCTGTCATGCGAGGGCAACGACTGTTATACGAACAAATACCTTGATCCATCTCTTCATCGTAGCGAGGACAAAGTCCTGCGACCCAACGGGGTCCTGGACGTGCGCGGCTCCATTGGAGAGTCGTACCGATGGTAGACGTGAGTCGAGTTGGATTGAAGTTGGATTGGAGTTGAGTGTAGGAATGAGGGAAGAAGATGGAGGGGCAGGAGGGGTAGAAATACCACGCAGAAATACGATGAATCATACGAAGTACTTCGCTAAAGGCTGGGGCCAGAATAATCGACTGTGATTGATCAAGTTCCTAACTCTATACTCCGTACGGAGTATTCACGCCGGGTTAGGATGCAATAGGATGCAAGTGTCAAGTGGATAGAGTCGGAGTTCATCCCTCCGGATTACAACGGATATCCTCGCAACGTATAACTTCCATGTGATTCAGTTTAATTAAAGAACAAACATAGGCTTCAGATGCACTGCTAGGAAAAGATCATATAAAGCAGAGTGATTAAACAAGTACAGATGACGTCACGAGCAGAGTGTCCACTCGAAGGGCCAATTGTGAGGTTGACAGCTAAGCGACAGGGTTCCAACACCCTAGTCTGTCCGATATCCGGCGTCGGACCCTTCGCGGCCGTTGACCGATATACTGTCTAGTGGGGATGATGAGCGTTCGGCCATCTTGCGGGTTCGCAGTGTGAGGGGGAAGTGCTCTTCGGGCTCTTCCTCTTCACTATGGAATGTATTAGTATTTGACAACATCAATCATACGATGGAACTTACGGCAATTTCCAAGCAATATAATCCTCAGTGCTCAATCCCTCGTGGCCTTCCTGCAGAGAGGCAAAGTCACCGGGAGTCATCATTCCGGAGCGATCCCGGGGAGATCCAGGAACCGAAAGCGGGCGGGAGAGCTTCTGCTCCGTTCCTCCAATGATATCGAAGTAGTCCTCTTGGCCCTCGAAGGAGGAGGGATAAGCTATAAAAAAAGAATTAATCATCGTCGCAGGGAAAATACAATAGGACTGTAACATACCTCTTCGCAATGCCAGCTGACGAGCCTTGACATATTCCAAGCCCATTCTTTTCCAGTCGAGCAGATCGCTCAGGCGCTCCGTACGGTTACGCTGGTTAATGCGCTGGCGACGACTCTTCTCCGTGAAGTTGAACATAAACTCGGTCAGTTGGTTGACCGAGTCGTCAACGCCCTTGGAGCGACGGTCGACAATGTAAATTCCGTAATCGGACGAGTTTTCAATCAATTCCTCCATATAGCAACCGAATCCAGACAGGTTGGTGGTGATGCTAGGCACACCCATCACGGTACATTCGGCCGGTGTGTATCCCCACGGCTCGTAGTAGGATGGGAAGACACCCAGATGGGTTCCGCGAACGAAGTCGTCGTAATCAAGCGGCAATACGGGGTTGGCAGAGTTGAGGAATTCGGGGTGGAAAACGACCTTCACACGGTCGGAGGAGTGGTTGAACAGCTGAACGCGACGCAGCTGGTTCAGGATTGGGTCCTCGTGGTCATTGACCATGTTGTGGGTGACGATAGGGGGCAGACCGGTGCGCTTCATGCCGAACAGGCGACGGCGGAGCATCACACGATCTTGACTGGTGATGAGATCTTTCTCGTCGGGCATGTTGTCGCCCTCCTTCCAGGAAAGGCAGCGCTCATACATGCGCTTGCCGATCCCCTTCTCGATGTTCTCGACGGTGTCGCGCAGAGACTTGACGACGGCCTGTCCCTTGAGCGCTTCCACTGTCAACGAAGAGGTCTGCGCGGGCATAATAATGAACGCGACGACAGTCATCGTTGACCCAGCGGCCTTCAGTCGATGATTGAGGCGGGCCAGCCCCTCAATGAACATATCGACACCCTTGTTGCGGTATTCGTAACGACCGGCAGTGAAGAGATATAGAGTATTATCCAGGTCGAAGTCGTTGTGGCCGTAGAAATGGCCACGGACGAAATCGTTGATCTTCTCCTTGGCCTGGGAGTGCAAGTTCTGGAACTCGTGCATGGCAGAGAATTTCTTGACATTCAGACCATTAGGCAGCACACCATCGGGTTTGCGCTTCAGCAGGTGCTCACTCTCAAATGCAGTGATGTGCGACACAGTGGTGAAGACATCACAGGCATGAGTAGCAGCGCGCTCAATGCAGTAGCGGTGGTAGATTCCTCGCTTCCCGGCCTCCGCATCCACATCGAAGTACTGGAGGTTATTATAGAAATCAACCGAGCCAGCACAGAGGTAACGACCCAATAATGTCGCGTGGGTGGTGAAGACGGTTGTGAGGTCCATGTGCCGCTTCTTGGTCAGTGGCAGAGCGACACCAGCCAACCATTCATGGAAATGGGCGATGACTGCCCGGCGACGGTCATGAGCAATGTACTACAGCGAGAGCATGGTCAGTCATGCACTTTTGCCATCTCCAACGTGGACAAGATTGCTGGTACGTACCTCTCCCAAGAACCAAGCGACCAAGTATCCAAAAACGATGGCCTCATTGGTCTCATTATCACCAGCGGGAGACGGGATGGCCGAGGTGTTCCAAAGATCACCCTTCCACTCGTCCAGCCACCTATAGCCAGTCCCCGTATCAATGAGGAGAACTCGGGGAGCACCCTCGATGAGCCAGCGACCGTAGACGATGTCAATGCCGCGCTCCTTCATGGACTGAATCGTGTCCCGCATGGCCGGGTTGGACGGCGAGAGCTCTTCCACCTCCACAGCAGCCGAAGCCCTGTTGAGAGGGCCGATCATGGTGTACCGCTCGCCATACTCAGCGGTGGTCACAGGCGCTTTGGACTTGAGGACCGAGTAGATCCCGCCTACTCGGTTCGCCACTTCAGTAGCCACCTCGAAGAGCATGTGATTGCGCACATCACGCTTGATGGGTTCACCATTTTCCTCCATTGTGCTCAAGGCCACAGAAATCACAGAAACACAGAAAAGCGAAAGAAAAATGAGACGCGAGGATGGGGGAGGGTTGGACGCAACAACCTTGGAAGAGCTCTCGGTCTGTGCGGGGAGAAGTGGACCTTTTGCCTTGGGCTCTTCTGGGGGAGGCTGGGGAGGAGTAGGGGGGCAATGTCGATCGAACTGAAGATGATGAGGCGAAAGAGATATATTTTAGAGCAGACACAGCAGCACACGGAGTACAACAATTCCCGTTCCTCGTTCCGGTCAAGAGTTTTTCTCCGGACTGGCTGACGGGTGTGACCACAGGACTTTTTGCCGCGAAGAAGTCTCTGTTTAGGGGAAATCCCACCCGAGACTGAGGAAAAGGGCGTATGATGTGCTCAGGAGATTTTATATTAATCTAATGTCTATCCATGGATACAGGTCTCTCTGCTTGGTATGTAACAGTCGTAGCAGTACCCAAGTGGCATCGCCATCGCCCCACGCCGTGTACTCGCCTCTCTCTCCGTTCTATCCCCGATATTCCCCTTTCTCCTAGGTTTCGCCCGGTTTTTCCGATTATTGGGCACCTGACCTGCATTTATTCGCCTTCAATCCCCGTCTCCAAAGCTCAGGGCCAATCCAATTGCAGTTTCTCGTCGGGTCTGGGGAAAGCTGGAGCCATGATGTCATCTCACATTCTACTCCACTGAACGGCGTCGGAGGGACCCGCCGGAGCTTGATCTTCTACAAATCGCCGACCAAGACGGCCACGAATGGCTTGAAATGGCTTCAACCATCTGCAGTTATTGGAGGGGATGACGCGCGGACCATGTTGGAGGGGATGATCGTCTTGGCAGTTATCCAATTCCCTCATTGGCGTTGAGATATGCCTATACCGTACGACATGGCAGATGCAAACTACTTTTTTTGTACAACACTGTGTTCCTTGTCTCTACCTAGGTTGCCCCCTGCCTGGTCGGAGGGGAATATCTCCGAGATCCTGCAATGTTTGACCTACCTCAAGTATACTTCCACCGGGGCAGTACCAGACAACCATGTCCAAGATGTCTACGGATAGATTCTGCAAAAGGACCCCGAGATGATGAAGCCGCTTTCTTTTACCCTGCTAGCTGCCTACATAGGTAGGTAGTACAGCAGTTGACTCATCAAAGTAGAGACACTTGGGAACAAAGAGCCCATCGTTGACAGAATCATCAACAAAGAACCTCAAAAGTCGCAGACCTCTGTTTGTTCCCATCCTCATTGTAACTGAGATAGAGTCCAGTCCTCATACCTGTAGACAATGTTGTGTTACTTGCTCGAAATGCATCAACTGAAAGGCCTATTGATGTCGATCTCGGAGATACCAGTATACCAGTCCAGAGAAATATAAAAAGCTGAGCTAGATGAGACCTGAAGAAAGACAGCTTCTGCATCCTCCCGTCCTTCAGCATCTCTCTCTTCTGATCAACCCGAATTGCGATCTTCGATCACCGGTCTCATTAGGCATGTCTGAGAAGAAGGCGCGCAAGCGGGCCAAGATCAAGCGTTGGTTGAGAAGTTGGGTATTCACTCCGCTGGGTAAGGTGAGGATCAAGTTGATCAACAAGACTGAGCGGAAGCGCTGTCGAAGTATCCCGGACCGTGAGCTCAATTGGATCGTTACTGGGTCTCACGCTGATCGATATCCGTCTCGCTTTTATCGGGGCCGCAATGGTCGCCAGTTATCGAACCCAGCGAGGAAGAGGTTCCTGCTTGAGACTGAGGATAACCTATCTCTGGTAGAGCTGGTATTTCCTATGTCCACACGGTCAGAGAGTTCACAATACCAGCCTTCTAGACCTGACTTTTGTGTGGCCAACGGCCCTGTGGTTGACAGAGTCGAACTTGCTGTGACTACCGTCCAATCTGATTATCTTCATGATCCCCGTGGAAGCTGGCGAGGGGGTGAACATTCTGTGCTGGGAATCATGAATCCGGACTTGGCTGAATTGAGTAGTGATGGTGAAAGGTCTGAGTCGGGCCCCGTTTGTGTATTTGAGGTTGGTAGAAATGTGTACGAGCTTTCCGCAGTTAAGGTAATGAGCCCAAACTTACCTGCAGAGTTAAGTGGTGGAAATCAATCTGGGCAGTCACCTTCCCTTTATGCCGAGTCTGACGGTGAGATGGCCAATTTCTCTGTGGTTGAAGAGCTGCCTCCTCAGCTTCCCGATTTGTATTTCATCCATCAACCCAACCCACCATTATGCTGTCTCATCAGCTCAGCTCTTCAGAACTTGCTCTCACCAGTCCTTTTGGAGAACGGTATCTGCTCCTGTGCAAAATTCTCACACAGTATTGAGCCATCGATTCAACATTTGTCCTCAGATATGTCACGGTCATCCATCAAGAGGGCCAAGCCCCGGATGACCACCGCAGAAGTCCTCATTCGCTATGCAAAGAGAAGACGAGATGCCATCATAAACAATAGGTACATCTCACCATATGCTCCTTTACAACCACGACCACTCCGAATTCGGAAAGATAATAATGTCACCAGCGAACCGCAGCATGATGTCCTGCCCGCCATTCCCGTGGAGACATCTCATGAGGTGACAGCACCAGTGCATCGTCCACGATACAGTCTCCGCCGTAAGATTTTTCACGGCGCATTACCTCCTCTACCTCCTTCGGCACCTACCTCCCTTCCATTCAGTGGTCCATCCATTCCATCTTCTTCGTCTGAACCAGCAAGACTTAGCTCTCAGGCCCTCGGCATCTCATCCACTCCTGCATCTTCATCTCGACCAGCAACCAATGGTCTTCCACAGTACCCTGACCGGCGAACATCGATGTGCGGTGGCTGCCTAGAGGGACGACACCGTCCTCTCCACAGCCATCCATATCATCGGCATGGCGACAACAACCCGCAATCTGGAAATCCCCCGCTGCCATACCCACTTAGCCCGCGGGAACTACTAAACCGTCTCCCACCTGGAATTGATTATGTTCCACCTTCGCTCATGGCTGGCCCGCAGTGCCGGCACTGCACGACCCGTCGATCTGGGATCGGTTCTCCCCCAGGGTTGGTTGGTCCTCGGGCGTTGAATCGTGTCTCCGTCTCTCTCTCAGACACCGCACCTGACTCGCCTTGGCTTGGCCCTGTAGGCGCCATGGCGTTCTATTCTGACTCTGAGGAGGACTTGCCTTTGCCCGTCGAGTCTGATCACATCGAGAGTGTTGGTCCATCTGGCTTTGAAATGTGTCTAATTGCGGGATCGGCTGCTCAAAGTCGTAGATACCGTTGAGGGACAAGTTGGTGCCGACATTCAATGAGGGTCGATCTGGAATACCCGCTTCCTCTTGTTATGTTTCCCTAAGTTGGTCTTCATTTATTTCTCATGGCTGTGTCAATCTCTTGTCGGACTCTTGGTTATGTGAGAATCAATCTTTCGGGCATAAGAACCATCAAAAATCATAAAATAAATGATAATTCCATATCGAATGTATCCTTTTACTTATTCTTTTTGGATGTTGCTGCCAGACAACGAAAAAGGAACGTATACAACGTAGCCCTAGTATGAAAACGGTCGCATATATATTCCACGCAACGAACAAAACTTGAAATTTACCTCACCACAATTCTTTAATAATATCATTAACTAATCGTTCTCTCGGTCTATTACCTTCCATTGAATATCCAGACCCAGTTCCAAGGCAGTTGAGCTAAGATCTTGGTACTCCAACTGCCATGAAGTCATACTCCCCACTATGAGTTCAGAATGTTGTCACGGCCGAACACATCGAAAACCAAGTAACTATAAGTAGAACTATTAAAGACTCTTCTTTCAATAACTACACAACCAAAAAGAAAAAAGAAACCAAATCTACACAAAATTACATTTCACATTTTCTTCCTCTCCCCCCAAAATCAACCAAAATGGTCCGCGGCGCAGAATACGACAACGGTGTCCCCCAGAGCGACAACCCTATTGAGAACGGTCCCAACAAGGCCCACGGAATCGGCAGTGAGGTGAGTTGCGCTACAAGTAACTCCAATTGAATTTTACTAACATTCCACAGCCCGCAGACCTGAGCCGCTCCCACAAGGCTGCCCCTTTGCCAGAGCAGACTGGCTCCGGCCGTGAAGTTCACCCTGGATTGCCTACCGCTGGATCGGCGCATCCCCAAGGTGGTGCTGCGAAGCCTGTTTCCCTTGATGAGAAGAACACTGCTGGGAAATAAGTGCGGTGATGTTATAATATGCGGATGGCGATGACCCTGTATGAGTATGATATTCTTTGGTGTTTTTGATGTTTTGCATACAACATACATACCGGATAATACCTGGCACTCGAGACCTTTCCCTTTCCGTTTTAGCGCTCACCTCTTGCCGCTTTTTGATCACTGAGTAAAAATGAGCACGTCCCTGAGTACCCTGACTTGATCACGGGCAATTATATAATCAACGTAATCTGCTCACTGAGCATCACCTGATCATCCCCCGAGCACCCTGATCCACTCACTGATCATCATCTGAGCATCCTGATTTGCTCACTGAGTGCTCACTGAGTGTACGGCTGAGCGGCCTGAGTAAGCTACATCACTAAAATGCGACACGCTAATCCCATCACGTGCAACCCTTTCCATTTAGATCGCCCATCAAAAAAGGACTGGCGCAGTCAACGTGACCGTTCATCCTAGCGGTCTCGACCCTATCCAAGTAAAAACCTCGCAGCGGGGCTATTCAATTGTCCCATCATTTTCCCATTTCAGCCTATGCTCCTGGGAATACCCTCGGAATACTTCGCTTACCAGCCCGGCGATCCCCTAATCGGGCTTTGGACTACTACCAGGGCGAGGGCGAGTGGACGGATTTCCTTGATTAGAGCCCTTCCCTGTATCAAGACAACTAGAGTAATCAGTGTTTAGCAGGTATGACGATGAACTACTTCTCTCGCTAATGAGCGTGTAAGTCGAAGGCGTTTCTGAGCGTATAACGTCATGTCTTTCGCGCTATTTCTAAGTAGGTCGTAAACCGAAGACAAACCATCAACAGTAACGCAGGCTCCCAGGAGCTCATCGGTATTATTAGGGTTCTAAAGGTCCATAGCTATTCCGTTCTAATCCTAGGAATTCTAAGCCTCGCCCGTTTGGCCTAGCATTTCTGCCTAAAGTGATGCCATTTCAAAGGGGAATACATATGCCTAGTCACTTACTCCGAAAACAATGGTCTTCATCATTCCTCTGCATCCGAGTTACTTAACCAAAATAAAAAGACTGCTTTTGAATATATCACAGTCAGTTCAGCCTTCATTCACTCGTTGTTCTGCATCAACTGACCAGTACTCTGGATTGGCATTTCTTTTGCTTACGATAGTCGAATCGATCAACATTATCAGCCTCCACGCCCACGCAAAATCTGGAAGCTACCAAAAGTACAACCGAGGCTTTAACAACAGGACTGTGCCATCGGTTGAACCTTCGCTGACATTGCTTCAGGGAGACTGTCATCAGCATTGGATCAATCGGAAGCTAGCAAGCTCGGTCATGGATCTCAACATCATCTTTGGTTGGCAATCTGGAGCAACGGGGATGCAGTGTTAGATTTCGGGACACTTTCAGAGAATGGACTGAACACTCGGCCAGCGATACTATGCACGAACCGGACTGAGATCGTCTTGATTTCTTTTGGGACATAGAAGTGCGACTATTGACAGAGCGACTGCACACGTTTGAAAATACCACATATACGACGATAGAACTCTCTGCGTCGTATGTAAAGTTCGGAGCTCTCAACGTTACAATACTCGGCTAACTGAATCACTATACTAGACATGCTATTTTTCTCACCTCTAAGAGCATCTTCGATAAAGAGGGAAACGCAGAATTGACCACGGAATTGAAATATTGTTAGCAGTTGTTGAAACAAACAAGTGGCGATATATAATTCAGGACAGGCGGCTGGCACTCCAGCGCATCACTCATGAGGCCGAAGGTCAGGCCATAGGGGTACAACAATCCCGAGATGTTTTGCAAGGACAAAAGTCCTTCCTTGAGACCTTGGGAGGGGCCATATCCGTACTTGAGGTCCCCCCGCCCCAAAAATATTTTACTTGCCTATATTCATCTCTTCTTCTTCCCAGACACAGGGGCATTTTAGGTCTTGTGATCTTCAGTCGAGTGAGACCTACGGACGCTTGCCCCTCCCACATTATAGGTTGACCAACGGATTCAATAGTATGGTTCTAGAGGCTCAGGAGCTTGGCAGCTTAATAGCGGGCTTTTACAGTATGAGCCCCGGTTCCCAAAAGGACCCAGACTTGCAGCGTCACTTTCCCAAAGGGGGAGTGGGAATTTGGTGCGAATGCGTATGAAGATGGAAAAGAGCCGTTCTTCCCTCGCCATTGAGCAGATACATGATATGCCTGGCGTTGCATCTTCTCATTATGGATCTTTTCATGCTGACTTGCAGGCACCCGCTCTAAACTATCAGACGGGCCCAGCTTTCCCCAGTCTTGGGAATAGTGCTGGTCCCCCAGTAAAACGCTTGGGTGAAGTACCGAAGACGCCTCCAATGGGACGAACGCACGGTATCTGGGTCCTTTATCGATTTAGTTTTCAGACAGTAGAAGGGCCCCTCCCCATGCTCCTCAGCCTACCAGCTCCGTTGTAGAACCCCAAACACGAGGCTGGCGGATCCCCAGGCATTTTGTCGCCGATAACATGCCCTGTCTGGATGGTATCCAGAATATTGGGAATATTGCTTAGCTGTCTGTGCTTTGCGATGGGATGACGATTGGTCCCTTTGGATTGACAGTATCCTTTCGCCCTTTGTCTCCGAGGCTTCATGGTTCCAGTCACTGCGCTTAGAATTATGGTCGTAGAGGTTGAAATGACATGAATCTTCATACATAACACCCGTAATCATTTTAGTATCGAAGTGACGGTGCATTCTTCATGACAAGAAAGGCCGTTCAAAACGAATATCAACGGCCTCAAGGCGCCCTGCAAGCGCAATCTCCATTTCTCAATTATTGCTTTCTGGGGGTGTGCATTTGATCTGGTAGATTTCTTTCCAGCGTCAAGCATTCCATGAGTCTATCATTAGAGAGAATACAGTATAAGCATCCGACAAGTTGAAACGAGGGGCCGTGCAAGGAATTCACTTAGCTTGCTTTTTCTTGTTTTTCTTTTTCTAATTCTTCATTTGGGTGACTTTTAGTCTCGATGCAAATTGAAAATCCTATGTTGAAGCCACGACGCCAGCTCCATTGTAGCGGTGTTTACGCCTTCCTAGCACCTTGAAAGCACGTGCTCCTGGAATATGGAATAACTGGAAATGCTGTTAGATGACTGCGCTATTGTATGGCCAAACTATACGCAATGGCTTTTGGCGAGGCAGACAAGTTCCATAGGCTCGACCTTACCGATGGCCGCGGATCTGGGGAATGGACTACTGTAGCGCGGAGGCTAATCTGGTTGGAATACTTATTTGGAACTGTGGACTTGGACCACCAACATTCAACGAGGTTGTTGAATTCACAGTCCTCAGTTTATTTACGTTGTGGTTTGTGGTGCAAGAGAAACTGAGGGAATGGTCTAAGTATCGATTAGAGTGGCATTTCCTACGTGGTATCCGCCAAAGATCGCCGCTGTTTTTTGAGTGTCGTGCTCCAGTACACCTGTAGAGACCCTTTGCTCCTTCCGGGGAATTTCCGTGAAAACCGTCTCGCCACCTCTGGCTAAGCAAGATTCTGTTCTTCCCTGAGCTTCACTAATAGAGCTGTTTCTTCCACGGAATATGATAAACCTTTTCTCGTACAAGGGGTGTGTTGCGCATCAACTAGTTCGGTAATTGGGCTTGGCTGGTCACAGTCGTATGTGATGTCTGAATCTTGGTTTGCGGTGCATCTTGATACAGTGGCATCTGTGCTTAAAGGCGTAGAAATACAATGAGATAAAGTACCCTCAAACAACCAGGACAGGAACTCTAGCCGGTCTTCGACGGGAAGGGCCGAGAATTGAGCACGAACGGTAGTAAACGAAACGCTGCTGCGACGAGGGGGGCCTTTATTAGACTGGCCGGCACCCCTTTTTGAATATCTCTTCCTAGCACTCGAACGCTTATTTATTTTGGACTGGTGACCGGGAAGCGCCGTTCCCTTTGCATTTTGTTGTCTGGATTGAAGAGGCGGACCTTGGTTCGAAGAGTGGGAGCACTCCAAGAGACATCTGTCTGGACATGTTGCGATGCCGGCGATATTTTCCGTTGATTGCATCTGCTCACCACCTGGAAAGGCATGATCGTCCAGGATTGCGGGATCGATTGTTTCGGTGTTTGGAAGCTCTCCAGTCTGGGTAGGGTTTCTAGATTCGACAGCTTGCGGGTGCTGACCAGTAATAACGGCAGGCTTTAAGTCGCACGATCCGAGACCGGGCGATCGATGCTTAGCATCCAGGCAAACATTATCGGGCATTGTGACAGAATCAACATCTTCGGTGCCTTGTATGCCTTGCAAGTGCAAAATGTTGTCAGAGTCGAAGGTCTCACCGTGAGGACTGGAGGTAGTGCGGCCCAAATCCTCTGGGTCGTGTCGAGTTGTTTGAGCGTCCGTATGTAGACCGCTATCCAAGCAAACCTCTAACGGGGGGCGGGCAGGAAGGGGATGCTGGCCAGGTCTGTAAGAATGACCTTTCTGACTCTTTAGGACGGGGCCAACAGGATTAGAGAAAGGCGGGCTGGCGGTCATCGAGATAGGGCTTGGGTAGCGGTAAATATCGAGAGTCTCGTAGAGGCTGGTCTTTGTCCTGGAAAGGATTCTATGGCCGAAAGGATTCCAGATGAAAACTTGCGTTTGACATTATGTGGAAGAGACGGCTGAAGCTTTCGGGATATGGTGGTTGTGGGATTTCCTAAAACAGGGAAACTGGCAGAGAACACGGAACTGGGAATGAGGGATAGGATAGGGGATAGGAGATAGGGTGGGAGAGGGGAGAGGAGAATTTGAAGGGGATCTGAATTCTGGTTTTGCCATTTGGGTGGATTTGTAGTCTCTTTTATAGACGACGGTCGCCCATAAGGCGGAATCCGCCTTCTACCCAGCGCAAAAAATCTCGGCCAGCTCCTACAATCCAGGCCACTGCATCTAAGACGCGAGACCACACCAGTTTCACAACCATAGGCTGTAGTTCGCCGGCAACAATTTCCGCTACCCTCGCTGATGACCTTTGCGATATATGCCCATACTAGTCGTCAGCCCGTTCTCCATTCGGTAGGTGACGGTACGATCGTGGTATGGTTCTCGCGCAGTCCAGCATTGGCCGCATGATATAGCATCGACCGGGGTCAGGCGAGTGTGCGGTATTTTCGCTATTGGCTCGCATTACCGTGGTATGCTTTCGAGATCCATCGATTGGGTGCGAAGAGACCGGAGAGGCCGACGATAACGATAGATGCGAGATCGAGGCATTTGCGAACAAGCGGCCGAGAGGAGATCTGCGACGCCAAGGGCTGTGTAATGTAACCTCAGATAGGGGCTGGGATGGGGCGGAAGCGGAGCATGCAGCATCGAGGAGGGCAATTGGGGAGACCTCGTAACAAGCGAGGTCAGTGGAATACCAGATACTCAACGGGAAGGCTTCACCAGCAGAAAGGGACCTAGATGGCTCTGTAGACTCCTGTGGAGAATGGAGTATTGACACATTCCGTGGATAGTTGGTTTACCCAGTGTTCCTGCTCCTGGGCGACTGGGTTGCATTGCAGCCCACGCTGGTCAGAAAGACCACGGCGTCGGATCGAGCGGCATCTCTGGTAAATGAAAGGGGCAGTGCGTCGGGCTGAACGCCAGTGAACAGGCGACGGTGGGGGCGAGAAAGAAAGGGGGAAAATAGGGGCAGTAGGAGGGAAAGAGAAGAGAAAGTGCGTCGACAAGAGGAGGAGAGGGCGAGCGGTCTTTTATAGATGGACGGCAGGTGGGCAGAAACAGTAAAAGCGGCCAGGGACGGCACTAAACCCGAACGGGGGCTGGAGGGAGGGCGCCACACCGGAAGGGGCAGGGGGACGGCGGAGGTGGGCAGGCGGTCGGGGGCGGCAGGACGGCGGTGCAATGGGAGCCGTTTCTGGCGGTCCGCTCACCGTGTCAACTAACTAACTAATACTATAGGTATTAGTAATAGTAAAAGCTTAAAGTATAAAGAGGAGAAACTAAGGAATCTACTAACGTATTTCACCACCGAGCCGGCCACCCACCAAAATGTATTGATTTCAAATGTGAATTTCTCAACTAAAACTCCATTAAATTAATTCAACTAACTGACTGGTCTATCTGGACATGTTTCTCTTCTATAGCCTGGCAACCTGTATATTCCGCAACCCCGGGGGGCCGCGTACGTGGCCGAATAGCTGATTCTCCAGGTATACCGGGGCCGGGGGGAGGTGCTTCAGTTGCTTCCTGTTGCTATATAATTAATGCAGAGGCTTCTTAAACTGAAAGGCCTTCTTCAGCAGGTATAAGCCTTCGGGATCGAGTACGCTTTTGCTTCTGCTTCTCGTTGGCGGCGCGTAATTCCTTATTTTCTTTGGCAAGTAAGATAGCACCTTGCATTGTAAGACGGAAGCCTTTCACAAGCTGGTTTAATGCACGATCTGACGGGCTAGGCGGGCTTCGAGATCTTATACGAAGTAAAGCTTTGATTAATAAAGCCTGACGACGTAGTTCTTTCTCCGTAAAGGGGGTTTTTGGAGTAAAACTCCGGCTTAATTCACTACCCCGGCTCGGAGGGGGGGTAGGCGTTCGAATTTGGATATTTAGCTTTGAAAGTACCCGATTGGGTGAAAAAGGTACTAAACCGGCTGCTAAGAAGCTATTTTTAATTATCTCCGATTTAAAAGCTTTAATTTATACGAGGGGGTATGCTTCGAGGAAGTCAAGTTTATCAATATGATTAATCCTATTCTGTATCTTGATTTCAACCATTCGACTATATACACGTTTTAATACCGCAAAACAACCAATATCCAGAGGTTGTAAAAGATAAGATAAATGTACTAGTATATAAATTGGTATAATACGATTTTACTCGCAAATTTCGTTAAACTTTAGCGTTAAATGATTTCTATAGCTGTCGAGTATTAAAAGCCGATATACTCCTTTTGTATATAAAGAAGTACTAGGAATAAAGAGCTTCTTAAGCTAACGAAGTCCAATTTCATCAGAGGTCCAGCTATTAGGGCTAACTTTAAAGCGCCAATCTTCCGGAAGGCCGTCGAACTAAGATTTAACGAAGACTTTACCTTTAAAAATTATAGATAGAGGAAGTGCCTACCCCGCCGCGTTCGTATATTCGACTACTGTTACCTATTCACGATTTCTAGGTTGTAAAACCGGCCTCTGACTATAGTATTCACTCCTTATAATAACCCTTATAGTTACAGTTAACCCTATGGTAAAACCGGTCTTATCAAAGTTATAAACGTTATTAGGATCGATCCTAAATTGAAGGATAGTTCTTTAAACTAAATTGAACCACTCTTAAATGATTTTAGGGTCTTCACATTTCGCACACTCGTAGTTATACCGTTTTGAGAATCGGGAGGAGAGGAGAGGATATCGTTTTATAAATTTCGTAACCCAATTTTGGCCGACCGAAAGAACTGGGGTAGTTCCACGCTTTTTGGAGGAGAAGGTCCGCCATTTCTCGTACCATAGAGGGCCGGGGGGCTGCTCCACATAGATCCATAGAGAGAATCCATTTTTCAAGAGATTCCTCTTCAATTTCAGTCAATTTAGATGAATTGGCGCAAGAATTCGCGCATTGCTGATGGCCACGTAGTCGATCTTGAAGTGTTGAACGAGGTATATTGAAACGGCGCGCCACTTCGCGTATTGAAGAGATTTCTTGGTTTTGAAAAGCTTGAATAGCTAGTATGATTCTACCCTCTTGCTCAACTAAATTTCTAGAGGATTGGGTGCGAATTGGTGGCATGGTGGGTGGTTGAAGAAGTAGGGGGTAAATTAATTGACGCGTTTTAGGTGGGGTGGCCGGCTCGGTGGTGTGGCCGGCTCGGTGGTGTGGCCGGCTCGGTGGTGAAATACGTTACTCGGCATGAACCATCCGGTTGCTTTATTCTGATTCTGAAACATTGCGGGAATGGGAAACGGAACGGCTTAAATATGAATGCCTAGATGAGCTATCTACTTCAGTAATTAGAGGTTCATATACAGAGCAATTTCCGCTTTATATTTCAACTTCCCAAAAAGATTTCTCCCATCCAATATTGACTTGGTACATACTACTCGTAAGTGATTGACCTTACGAGTTTGGTGAACCTCGTTGCCAAGATATTGAGGTCAAGTAGAAATTCAGGGGCATGCGAGATGCCAGTATTTTTGACAGGAGTATTATAAGTAATTTACAGAAAATACAGTCACGTGATAATATCTTTTCCAGTACGATTCAATACTTGAAGCTGAGACAGTTTCTGAGGTATCTGCATGCTTATTAAGCCCAAAGAAGGGTTGAATAAACTCAGTATGAGGTTGCTTGAAAAAAAAAACAGCACACTCTCACAATATGCTATGAACCTAATATTGGTCCTTTCGTATACTGGTGCGTACCGCATTACCTTGGAATTAATATGCGCAAGCATTGTGCAAATGTTATGAGTTAGAGTGGAGCTAAAAAGGTACGGGTATTGATGAGCGCACTACTATATTTTACTAGCGCATATACACAGGATTTCAGGCTGCGCGGCATAGCCTTTCCTTTTCGCACTCCTTGCCGCATTTTGCTCACCGAGCAAAATTGAGAATCTCTCGGCAGGATATGCATACATGTAGTCACGTTCGGGCCGGCCCCCTGGTCCCTTGGCCCCGGCCCACCTGGACTCATGAACTGATCATTTTATCAATCTCTTGGTAAATATTGAGTCGGCCTGGAGGTCATTGGCCACGGAGCACCTTTGACGCCGGGGGTTCTCTCCGTACGTACCTTTGTGATAAGGCTCCTGTCCTTCATTTGAATTCGACTGTTGCTCGTCATTGGAAAAAGTTTTAAAACTGTCTTTCTTAATTAGTGATTGTACCATCCTATGACCCTCCAGGATGAGAACTGTTTCCCAGAGTAACTCTAGCAATCCTCAAATCAACCACTTTAGACGATTTGACTGAATATGTCCTTCCTATAGTCGTATACATTCAGAACGGCGGCATCTCCCACCGGTCAAAGTTTATTCATGTTGGATATTTGACCAGCGAATATACATTTATTGTATGCCTGTCTCGGAAATTCTCACAGGATCCACCACGAAAGCCACAAAGGCAGCAACGATCCATTGAACACCCTGTCCCCGAAAGACCCTGGCATGTCTCAGATCCTTCCAATCCTCTGGCCTCGTGATACCGGGCGAAACCTTTCATAGATGGATGTCGCCCCTCCGTCCTGGGACGATAGCTGCATGAATCCTTGATTAGACTGAAAAATGGGCACACTTGCAAACAGTATTTACGTAATATGATTGCTTAACTATCATTGACTGTATAGTCATTTTCAGGGAGGGCAGTTGACCGACCTAGTCACATCCAAGTGCTATAAAGAAGGCATATATTTCCATCTCTATCATAGTCTCATACTTCCTTTCAATCAATCATAAGGTAATTTCAAGGGCCACCTATGCCTCAAGATTTCAAGGTACACCTGTGGACCAGTAATAGAGATGACTAAGACACATACTTGTTACAGGAACCTTCAA